TTAATTAGAGTGTGCAGATCATAAAATTTTATATAAAAAATCCTGATTAGTGATCTACATTATGCCGCTTGCACTATGTTTGTGATTATACTAATTATTAACACCACAATGTGCCACGTACTGTGAATCCAGGGCGACCAAGAATTTTTCGGGTCATGTAATGATAGCCAAAACAAACTCGAATTTCTTAAATTTGTTAAAGTTAAGGTTAGTGTTAGCTTTAGAGCTTAAAAATTGAGCATATATAGTAAAATTAGGCAAGAAAATATTTTTATTAGAACGTAAAAGTTAGTTTCTTATGTGAATTCTTGAGATAAAGCATTTTTTTTGTCAAAACGAACGTTTATTTTGAATTTTTCTGATCGTGTTATGTTACACTTAATTTCGATTTACCATTGGCTAAATTTATTGCTGATCATCATGTGACCCGAAAAACTCTTGGTCACCCTGGTAGATTCACGTACTGTACGTACTGTACACTAAAATTTTGACAGTCATTCTATAAGTTATGAAGTTTAGACCATAACATTTATAAGTTCCTAAATATTTTGAGCCAATTATGGAATATTTCGAAACCATGGTGTAAAAAAAATTCTACTATACGTACTATATGTACTGTACGTACTGTACGCTAAAAAAATCCGAGTATCATATAAATAGCACATCTAGTGATGTGTCACGTACTGTACTATACGTACTGTACTGTACGTACTGTACGTACTGTACGCTAAAATTTTAACAGTTATTCTATAAGTTATGAAGTTTAGGCCATAACATTTATAAGTTCTTAAATATTCCAAAACGATTACAGAATATTCCAAAACTATGGTGTAAAAAAATCCTACTATATGTACTATATGTACTGTACGTACTGTACGTACTGTACGCTAAAAAAATCTGAGTATCATATAAATGGCACATTACTAGGCACATCACTATATATGATAGACGTTTTAAAATTTGAAAATAACTTTAATTGAAGATATCTCAACAACCATTTGATAAAATTCGATAAATTTTTTTATTTGAATTCTACAGATCTGTAGAATTCAAATAAAAAAATTTTCATCAAATTTGATCAAGTAGTTGTTGAGATATCTTCAATTAAAATTTTGTTAAAAATTTTGATACTATATGATAAATGTTTTAAAATTTGAAAAATTAACTTCTATTGATGATATCTTAGCAACCACTTAATCAAATTCAATAAATTTTTTTTTATTCAAATTCTATATATTTGTAGAATGCAAATAAAAAAAAATTTATTGAATTTGGATATGTAGTTGCTAAAATATTATTAAAAAAAGTATTAAAAATTTTTATACTAATTCTAAACGTTTAAAATTTTATAAAATTTTGATCAAAAAATATTTTGAAGTCTATTTTTTATAATAACTTTTATTATATATGATAATTCTATAAAAAAAACAAAATATTTGTATTAATTAAAGGTGTATAAACTAAAAAAAAAAAAAAAATTCAAAAAAAAAATTTTGGGGAGCAAAATTGATGATCATCGATCTCAAATTTAATTGGTCGATCATTTAGAGTCGCATGGTGATGGGTCGCTAATGTATTTTTGCCAATAATTTAAATACGACTATTTTTTATTATTATTTAATTTAAATACAATTATTTATTTTTTTTTTAATTTGCTTTAAATAATTTAAATACGATTATTTTAAATATAGTTATGTTGAATACAATTATTTTTTAATTATTTTTAATTATTTTATTTTATTTAACTATTTATATCGAATGACAGAAAATCCCAAGTTGCTCTTTTGATAGTTTTAAATATAAAGCATTAAAAACATAGCTTTTGTATTACTATGTAACTTTGCTCTAGACAATTATTCACTAAAAAATGCGTAGCATTGTGTGTCTGAAGCTATAAAAAAATTAGTAGTAAAAATTATTTTATTTGACATATAAATGCTATTTTTTTTTTTTTTTAAAAAAAAAAAAAAAGCACTATAATATAATACAGACACACGTGATAATGTCGATCAAAGTAAGATATAAAAACAGTGTCCTCTACTACTCTCCAGACGATAATTTTATATAATAATCATGTGGATTTGAGATTTGGGACAGTATTTGGGATTTGGGATAGGATTTGGGATTTGTCCATATCAATATGAGATTTTCAAACATGGCCAGACAATCTCATTTGTCTGGGTTTGTCCATGCACAAATCCCAAATCTCATGAGTTTTGCCGGCAAGTACGTATATGCATGGTCTCATGCCTAAGCATGTCATCGATCAATGTGTATTACAAATTTAAAAATAGTTAATCTTTTTTTTTTTGCACATTGCTTTTTCTTTTTAACGCATGAATAAACCATCTTTTCAAGGAATTCGATAGTATTGAAAAGGTAAGTATGGATGTTTTGAGAGTTCTAACCATTATGGGGTTTTTTTTTCTTTAAAAAACTTTTAAAATATGCAATATGAGATTTTTAAAAAAGTTGAAGGAGAATCTAATAAAGCTTTAGGAACAAGGTTTGAATTATTTTGTACAGAGTTGTTAAGTAGAGGGTTTGCAGCTTGGGGAGCTACAATTATTTGGACAGGGTGAGTATTTCGTTGAGTTGTCACGTATTTGAAGTTATGCTGCCAGGTCAACGTAAAATATCCAAGAATTGAAAGTGCATCGGGCCTATGTTTCGGCATAGAATGTTCTTCTTGGTTATTTGATTTCACGTGAAGTTTCTTCTGTGATTAACCTGGTGAATAAAATACGTGCTGTTAAGCTATATACAACTATAAAACAAAACATATATTTATAAATTAGTCGTTCTGGAGATGGAGGCCAAGATATTATTATGGAGGTGAATGGCTATACATTGGCCATCCAATGTAAAGCTTATTTTAATAGCTATATACGTATGCTTGTTATTTTTTATTCATGTCTATATTTTGATTATATAACTTAATTAATTAGTTATGATAATTAAAAAGGAGAAATGTAAACGAAGTAGAGATTACGGTTAGAGTTGGGAATTTTGATTTGGGTTTTTTGGTAGTAGTTGATGTTTCTAAAATAAGGCCTGGGGCAATTGAAGCAGCTGGTTCATTAAAGGGTAAAGTAATCATCATAATCTATGATAGAATGAGCGATGTCATTAAAGAAGCAATATTTAATTTATTGAGGAAGGAAGAAAATAGATTGATAGAAGAAAATAGATTTAATTTAAACTATTACTTAATTTATAAATATTGATATTGCACTATATTATTTATTTTATTATTTAATGTGATTTATAATTCTTCTATTTATTTATTTATTTATTTATTTTTATTTATTTATTTATTTATTTTTATTTATAATGTTTAAATATTTTAATTTGATATATAACCTTTGACAAACCAGCTCACAGCTCTTTCTATATTTTCTTGTAAACTTTTTTTTTTGCTTAATATATTTATTCATTTGAAAGATGAAATTTAAATCTTAAATGTTTAAAATAAATTCATAAAAATATTTTAACGTTAACCTCTGCGGAATCATTTAGATTTTGTTATGCACAATTTAATTAAGTATTAAAAAAAACTTTTGAATAATCTGCAATTTCCAAATCTCTGTTTTACATCAAAATTTTTATTACAATATCGATACTAAAATTAGAGTTGTATAACTTAAGTTATTCTAACCTACCAATCTAATGATGGCCAAGATTATTCTTTTAATTCTTTTATTTCAGATAAATCGGTAAAGGTCATTAATGCAGTTCTTTTCTGGGACTTAAGAATTAAAATTTCAAAGTCATCCTCGTGATCTATTGAATGAAATATTACTCTTCAAAAAGTATTAATAGTATTAATACGACATAACTATCTCGTAACTCTGCCAAATTTTATTCTCTATTTTTGCCCAAATTATATTTCAAATTTTGCTTAAATTAAACCCTAATTTCGCCAAAATTTATACTTTGATTTTTGCCTTTAACCTTTATCAATACTTGTTCACGATTGAAGCTAAATTGGAAATTTCTAAAATTTTTATTCTGGTCAAAATTTCTATCAAAATTATACTTTAATTCAGTCTCTAAATTATTATTTTAAACAAATTTATATTATAATATTTTAAACAAAATTAAAATACATAATTATTTACACATAAATATAAATGCTATTTACATTAATTAACATGAACGAATTAATTCATTTCAAGTAAATGTAAATGCTTTTGTAAGTCCAATTACATTTTCATGAATGAATTAATTCATCGCAAGTATTTATTTGTATCATTTATATGAATTAATTCATTTGCGAGTAAATATAAATGCTTTTACAAGTACAATTACATTTCTATGAACGAATTAATTCATTGCAATTATAAACTATTGCTCTAGTTCATAGTCAGAATTTTTAGGCATGGTCCAATTATTCTTTGAACCTGACAGCTCCTTAATGTTTTCTTCGATGAATGAAGATAAAATTTCTTCTATATGTTCTGATGACGTGCTACTTAAATTGGACAAGGGATTTTTCGGGCTATTTGTAGGAGTAGGATTTGTAATTGCGCATCCATCTAACAATATTTTTGTGAATTCTGTATCTTGTGTTATATATGGATTGTTTCTCGCTTTTTGTTTTAAATATTCATACAACTCTTCAACAAATTTAGAGATACTATTGACACGTTTCTATTTTCAAATAGTAATGATAATTTAAATTATTAATGTGATAACCAATATAATAATTTTTAATAATAATAAATCAACAATAATATTTACACATAATTCATTTAAAACTCTTAAATATTGGTAAATATCTTATCTTTCTTTTTATAAGGAATATTAAATTCACATAAAGGTTTTGCCCTATATACTTGATTACCAGGACTGTCCAAATATACCATTTCATTCTTGTTCAAAATAAAAAATAAGACCATTAATTGTAATTTAAAAAATTAATAATAAAATTTCACTTACACTAACCATGTAGATGTGCATAATATATTTCTAATTGATTATAAGTATTATATATAACATTTTCGTCTATCCATTTGCCATACTTCTCAACCAAATTATTAACAAACTTTTAATAAGAATCCTTACAAGCTCTAATACCTCTTCTAAAATCCCACAGATTTTCTTATAATTTTTATGATGCGGGGGCCTACAACTTCTATTACTATTAGATCTATATTTAATATATTCTTAATTATTAAATCAACATGACAGCCTCTATCAGATTTGGAGACTAATTTTGTTTCGTCGTACAGTTTTTTCTTTTTAGCATTGATTTTACGTTCTTTTGATCCTTTTGATGTAATATTGATACTAAAAATAAAAACATATATAATAAATAAATTGTGATTCATTAAAAAGATAAAAACAAAATAAATCTACATACGGAAAAGAAAAAAGATTATATTTATTTAGTTTAAAATTTAATTTAAGTATTTCATGTAAATAATCTGCTATATATTGGCCTTCACTAATATTATTGTCAGGCAATAAAACTAAAGTTCTCCATAAAATTCTTCTATAAATATAAAACAAATATTATGTACTGGTAATATATAATTTTTAAAATAAATTTTTATATAAGAATTATTTACAATTTTACTAAAGCTTCGTAATAAAATTTTAACTCAATATTTCATAAATTATTATCAGGTGGACGAAGCATTTCAAGATCATCATTAATGATATTATTATCATCACATAGAAAATCAGCTAACTGATTCAAATAATGAGAGATAGTAATGTCTACATCAATACGAAATGAATGTTTTTCATTAATTTCTTTCCACCCATCATCTTTAAATATTTTCTTTAAAGGTGAATTATCAGAACACTCGATGATATATGACATTTCTGGACTAACAATAAATGTAATACCTATTACAATTATTAGAATTTTAACATATAATAAGTTATATATAAATTATAATACTTATACATTAAAAAGTAATTTTTTATTTTTAAATTTTTTATAGATTATTTCACCACATTTCTTCCGGATTCAATGTGATATTCCAAATCCTATTTGAATGTAAAATTTGTTAATTGCTAATATAATATAAATCTTTTATATTTACTATTACCTTTATATTATCAAATATACAACAATTGGCACTATTATATTGGCATATAGGAGCAGAATTATGAGAAATATCTGATATAATATGTATATTTTCCAATTTTTTTATCATCTCTTCATATTGTCTTTTTTTTTCTTTGTTGTTAAATGCTTCGATGACAAACTATTTATTATTATAACTATCATCTTTTACATCCTTTTACAAAAACAAAACATATTACTATAGAATATATAAATAGCAAATTGATTTTAAAATATTATCTCAAAAGCTTTTGAATATCGTTCGAGTGATTCTCTCAGCAAGTGTTTTTTAATTCCATTTTTGTAAATAATATGTTCAGTTTTCTTTACAAATGAAAAATCACAACATGTTATTCTATAATCTAAGAATTATACACAATAAGTAAAATTCTACACTCACGCTAGTAATTTAACATGTGATTAAAATGATTATAATTGTATTATTTAATATTTAATCTTTTGACAAACTGAAACTATATACTTACACTTAGTGTTAATGTCGGACCAGGGACTAAATTCTATCACTATACATGGATGTCTAAATTATTTCTGAAAAATTTTTACCGAATATTGGCTTTATGGATTTTTAATGAACTTTGAAAGTTTTTTTGGAGCGACTAATTGTACTTTAACACCCATATAACAGGAAGCCTACAAATTTAGAAGCAAAACATTTCATTTAATATTGTAAAGTGCATAGTAAACTTTAATTATGCCATCAATAAAGACTTTTTAAGTATTAATAATATAACAAAGATTCACAGAGTTTTTGGTGAGGAAATTTTCGTTTAATTTTTTCTTTGAGAAAAGTTGATCTCTATTAACTAGCTATTCATGGTATTTTAGAATTTGTTTTTTAGGAGATTTACTTTTTCTTTTTCAATTACATTGATAGTTGCTGTCTCTATAGAATTCTATAATATAATTAATTTAGTTTAAACTTGAATAAGATATGCAATAAAACTTACTACTTAATTGCAATTCCTGAGATTTTCAGTCACCTTATTCTTATTTAGCGATTTAATCCATCAACTGAATACTGGTAGATTGGTAATAATAATATAATGACTGTTGGGTATTAGCAGAAACTTCGTTTTTGCTTATACACATAATTAACATGATTTTGATATAGTGATCGGGATTATTTTGGTAACGATGTATTCAGAAAAAAAATGTTGCGGTTGATGCTGAGATTTGAGGCCTCTATTTTAAAATATAAAACCTACTTATATATTTTTTATTAACAACTCTAATCCTAACCCTAAAACTTTTAAAAAAAGCACCTCAGAAATTTTACTTCGATGCATAAAATTCAAATTAAATCTCAGCACTTGTAACATCTGTTAAATAGTATGTGCTTTATAATATGCTTATTTGTAAATATACTATCATTTTATTTTCAAGAAATAAAAAAACTATTGAGATACAAAAAATATATTCTTACAAAGTGCTCATAGTTACATAGCACATAAAAACTTAAAGATTTCTTTGTATAAAATCAATAAAAAAGAGTCTCTAGCAGAACTTCGATTTTGGAACAGGTGTTGTCTTATTGTAAAACACGAATGATTTTGTTCTCAGCGACGACCTAGGTAAGTAATAAAATATAATTCAGTTCAACACATTAGCAATGGAATAAATAAATTGATTGAACTCACTAGTTGTCTTGCTAGAATTGAGACCAAGGGTAATAGAGTATTTCCTATCTTGCAAAACTGACTTGATGATACCCTGTTTTGTAGAAGTACCGCCTCTATAATAGTATTCAACCATTTCTGTTGGATAGCAAAGTCATGCCATTAGTGCATAAAATAACTATTGTGAGATAAAATAATCGAAATATAAAAAAAAAAACAAATGTACGACCGTCTCTATAAGCCATTTTAAATACTAAAATATGTCAAGTTTGAGTATGTTATATTGTTTGTAAGGTAGACAAATTTAAAGCAAAATATTTTTCGTGTACAATAATGATAACCTTGAGAAAAAAAAAGATTAATTTATGAAAAGCCCATCAATGAAGTGACAGACGATTATTATTGCGAAATCAGATGACTTTATGATCGGGCATATTACAGGTTTAAATATATCCTTTTATAGTTATTCTTTGATTATTGTTGTTATATGTGGAAACTTGTTATTATGCAGGTAATTTGTGATTAGCATATGATTTTCAAAGTGCTTATTGTTGTGTTTATTGTTAGATCGGTACAGGGGTAAGGGACAATGACAAGCAGGATATTTAAGGCTGATTGTCTTTTGGAAAGAAAGTATCCTTTTTCTTTGCTATCGCTCGCCTTTGTAGAGGCTAGCTCTATCGTTTTCTGTCGCATACTATACATTTCTTTGTGTTTTTTTTAAAAAAAAAAAAAAAATTAATAGTTGCATTTAGCATATATAGTACTTTACAAATATTGGAATATGTCTACGAATCGCTCAATGAATGCCGGGAGTTGGACAAAGCTGACTTTAACCGAGCTGAAGGACTTGTGTACAGCTTGTGGTCTCTCTGTGGAGGGTAATAAAGAAGTGCTAGGCGAAAGACTACAAGCCTATTTTGACAAAAGGAAGGATAAAGGACCAGAGGCGAAGCTGAAAGAAAATAATAAAGGTCAAGAGTCAGGGGCCGGAGATCCCAGAGATAAGACAGGAGAAGCAGTAGATGTGGATTTGGATACAGATGGAGGTGGTAATTTCAAGGATGATTTAGATGAAGAATCCCAAGAAGCGGATAATGGAATTAGAGAGGAATTCGAAGCATGTTTTAAAAGAAAAGAGAAAGTAAAATTAGTTCCTGTCAACATTTTTCTGACTGCGTTAAGTAGCATCAAGAGAAAGATGGATAGAAGTTTCTCTGTGTTGTATAGGGAGATTAAAGATAGAAATGAGTTAGATAAGGTGTGGCCAAAGGTTAAATTTTCGAGAGTACGTGACTAGTACGAGTACGAATTTTTGACGAAAATTGGTAGACGTTTGGATAAGGCAATTAGGATATTGCTAGATTCTACTAGAAAAGAATTTGTTGGTGTACATGATGAAGTTGAAGCAAAGGCTGTTACATTAAGACTAGCAGATAACAAAGAGTGGAGTACCGCTCTGCAGATAGTAGGGAGTAATGATAAGATGATGGATAAATATAAGGACCGTATACCATTATTTGGCCAGGCAGGGCAAACTCCATGTTCGTATAGCTAGGGGTACAGATGAAGGGCCCGTAGGTATCAGCAAAAGAGAAGGAGAGAATCATCTACTTCATCGGATTCAGAAAGAGATTATTATGAGAGGAGTAAGAAAAAGAAGAGAAAAATTTTGTCCTTTTGGGCCAGAAATTCCTATGGCTACTCAGATCGACAAGGAACAGTTACCTGCTATAACTGCGGAGGTATTGGACACATCATTTTGAATTGCCTCTTTGCAAACCCAAGAACCCCTAACAAACCAAAAAGCCAGAATTGACTACACTTGGGCTGGACTTGTAGAGAAGGATACGTTGGAAGACCAAATATCAGTTGTAGGGAGAATGCAAGTAGTGGATGCTTTGAACTATTGGTAGCACAAAATTGGTCTATCACCAGTGGTTATGGATTGGCTAAGAAATGGAGTTCAAATATATCCAAGGGTGTGTTAGTATTAGTGGCAAAGCCTGTGCCAAATCAGTACAATTTGTCAACAGGAATGGGTAAGAAAGGAATTGGATCAGTTAATAAAGTCTGCAGCAATAGGGTGTTTGGGGAGTCAGGTGACAAGACCAAAATTTTTACTAGAAGTGAGCCCGGTTTTCCTAGTGCCAAAGAAGGGACCAAAGAAATGGCAGATGGTTATAGACTTGAGATGTTTAAATACGATTCTTCCCGAGAAAAGCATGTGTTTCGAAAGTTTGGGCAGCTTGCTTTGTACAATAGAAAAGGGTTGGTATGTGATCATGTGGGATCTAAAGGATGGGTATCACCATGTGATGATGAGAGAGGACACACAACGTTTTCTTGGTTTCCAAATACTGGGCAATTGGTATTATTACAAAGTTCTCCCCTTTGGTCTCTCACAGGCAGTGTGGATTTTTTCCAAGATTATGCAAGCTATAGTAGGTCATTGGAGGTCACTAGGTTTGTTTTGTGGAAATTATTTAAATGACTTTTGGTTGGCTCACCCTTCGTTGGAAATCTTGATCAAAATAAGAGATACGGTAATAGAGGTAAACCTGAAAAAATGCAGATTGGTAAGAGAAAAGTTGAAAGGACAGTGGATTCTATCTCAACAGGTAAAGTTTTTTGGCTTGATAATAGATACGGTAAAGGCACAGGTTATGGTTCTGAAGAACAAGGTGATGGAAGTAAAAAAGTTAATGTTAGAGTTGGTAGGAAAAGAGAAGATCTTAGCTCGCAGGTTAGTTTCAGTGGCAGGAAAGATACAGTCACTAAGCAGAGCATTTGCACCTGCAAAGGTTCGTTGCCTAGAATTCTATTCATTAATAGATGTGGCAAACCGAAGCCCATGGCAATGGGATGCGTTTGTGAATCTGTCAAAACAAGCATGACAAGATACAAGTTGGGTAGCAAAGAATTTGGAGAAGAAAAATGGATGCCCAGTTTGGAAGCTGTCAAGAGTAAAGCAAGTGTTCGTCGATGCATCGACAATAAGTTGGTCAGCCATTTTTGGAAGCCACAGGGCATTCGGAAATTGGAACTCAGTAAGGTCTCACAAGGAAATTACAAGACTGGAGGCAGAAGCTATAATTTTGGGGTTGGGCTCCTTTGCAAAACTACTGCAGGGTTTATGGATAGAGCTACATATAGACAACCGGGGTGCTATCGGGACAATTTTAAAGGGAGGCAGACTTCCGTGGCAGAAGAATTTGCTAAAAAGATTGTGGACTCTGGTGTACAAATGGGATATTTGGATCAATGAAGTTTTTTGGGTATCTTCAGAGGGAAACCTAGCTGACGAGTTAACCAGAATTTTAGACAAGAATGACTGGTGCTTAAGCCAAACCATCTTCAACCTTTTGGAGGAGAAGTGGGGACCACATACAATAGACTGCATGGCCAACGATCAAAACAGCAAATTGACTTGGTTCAACAGCAGGTTTTATTGTCTAAATTCAGAAGGAGTAAACTGCTTTACTCAGAATTGGTCAAAAGAGAACAATTATGTATGCCCACCGATAGCACTAGTTCATCGGGTTTTGCAACACATAATACAGGAAAAAGCAGTAGCGACAATAATTGTACCCAGGTGGGTCTCTGCAGCATTGTGGCTAATACTACTCCATATTCAGGTCAGCTATATAGTTCTGCCTCCGGCTCGGATGTTATTTGTAAAGGGTTTCTCAGGGGAGGTGAAACCGTGGAAGAACCAAAATTGGCAGTTCCTAGCGTAAGAGTAGGTTAGTTAGTAAGTTGCTGATGAGGGCACAATCTTTGAGTAGGAAATCAGTATCAGAGGATTGGAATCGACATTTGGATAGGGCATGAAATGTATATAAAGGCTATTCTGAGATTATGAGATTAACAGCTTTACCATCAGAGGTTGATACACTTGTATCTTTTCTTGTTTGGTTGGACTTGGCACATTCCTTTTCAGGATACGTAGATTTCCTAGCAGCAGTATCAAGAGAGCACCTAAAGTGTCACTTCTCAGACCCTTCTAAAGATTATAGAGTCAAGAGAATTTGTAAAGCATTAGTAAAGGAATATAAGAAGGATAAGGAACCAAGGTAGCCCCATGACCCCTGACAGTCTCTGCTTTGAGACAGTTTGTGGACAAAAAACCACAGTGCATGAGTAAGGATTTGTGGATACGAGATGCAGCCTTGGTAGCTATTGGGTTGAGAACAATATGCCATCCTGGTGAATTATGTAAATTGAAATTTAAGGATGTGAAATTCGGTGACAAATTGTGCTGGGTGCGTATAAGTTCCTCCAAAACAGATCAATTTGCAAATGGGAAGTTTATTCCTATTGAATATACGGATAGTCGGTACTGCCCAGTTAGGTTATTAAAAAGATACTTGGAAATTAGACCAAAAACTATGGAGGATCAACCTCTTTTCCTGTCAAACCGGGGAAAGCAATTGACAGTGGGAGCTGTCGGTGCTATTGTCAAAAGAAAAGCAAGTAATGCAGGAGCTAGTGGTAGATTTACAGCTCATAGCATTAGGATTGGTGGTGCAACAGCTGCAATAGAAGCAGGCTTATCTTTAACACAAATACGAGCCATAGGTGGCTGGGACAGCAAGGCAGTCATGTTGTATTTGAGGTCCGTTGGAACAGCGAAATTGCAGTTTTCTAGAAAAATGAGTTTTGCAATATAGTGATCCTCTTCTATTCCTATATGTTTTTCAGCTTTGTTAAATAAAATTTTTAGTTGTTTAAATAAGTCATCTGATTGAGCAATAATAATAAAAAGCCTGTCAACGAAGTGACAGGGCGATTATTATTGCGAAATCAGATGACTTTATGATCGGGCATATTACAGGTTTAAATGTATCCTTTTATGGTTATTCTTTGATTATTGTTGTTATATGTGGAAACTTGTTTTTGTGCAGGTAATTTGTAATTAGCATATGATTTTCAAAGTGCTTATTGTTGTGTTTATTGTTAGATCGGTACAGGGGTAAGGGACAATGACAAGCAGGATATTTAAAGCTGATTGTCTTTTGGGAAGAAAGTATCCTTTTTCTTCGCTATCGCTCGCCTTTGTAGAGGCTGGCTCTATCCCTCCCTTACCCACCCGAAGTCGAGCAAGTGAAAATGATGTTATGCCAGGCTCCACGGCTGCGTTAGCAGTGCAAGGACCTGATGTTTTGTGATTCCAGGCTCCACGGCTGCATTAGCAGTGCAAGGACCTAATGATTTGTTATGCCAGGCTCCACGGCTGTGTTGACAGTGCAAGAACCTGATGATTTGTGATGCCAGGCTCCACGGCTGCATTAGCAGTGCAAGGACCTGATGTTTTTGTTATGCCAGGCTCTACGGCTGTGTTAACAGTGCAAGGACCTGATGATTTGTGATGCCAGGCTCCACGGCTACGCTAGCAGTGCAAGGACCTGATGTTTTTGTTGGCCTCCACGGCTGCAGTAGTAGTACAAGAACTAGTATGCATGAGTTTTCACAACTGCAAGTGACAGTACAAGGACATAATAAGAAGGTTATCTGCTTATAGCAGCATTGACATATATACCGATTCTCTTCTTCGCTATAGAGAAGTCTCCCTACTTGAAATCGATTTAGTATGTAAATGGTTTGGATCGCCATCTTGTCTGTGGTCTTACAGGTCTTGAATGGTGATCTTTGCTTGCTGTTTTGCCAGAAATATAGGTTATCGTAGAGTAGAATGAGATAATGTATATTAGAGCCGGCAAGGATAGCAAACCCCTATTCCCATATGTTTTTCAGCTTTGTTAAATAAAATTTTCAGTTGTTTAAATAAAGTCATCTGATTGAGCAATAATAATAACGATAATCAACTTAAACTGTCCGAAACAGTAACGATCAGCGGACACGTCCACCTGCAAGAGACTACTGTTGATGTCCAAAATTTTTATGTTTGGTCAATCGTTTACCGTTACAGTTGCATTTATACATTTTAGAGTACTTTTTCTTTTTCGAAAATGTAACATTTCACAAGTAAAAAAGTATTTGGTATCTCAATTGAGGTACGTACTTTACTTGGAAAGTTTCTATCATATGTTACATTATACCGATACTGTACGTTATCGATCAGCAAATATGTCCCTTAATTAAGAGGTTTACGTATCAGAGTTTTGCCGGAAAGTATACCCCTGAGAAATAAATTGATCGACGAATTTTAAATCCGTCTCTTAACGCTATTACTTAACGTTAAATGGGATCTGGTGTGAACAATACAAAAAAATGTCGCACGTCACATTTTAACTGTAGGTTGAAAAAGTGGTAACTATATATGGTTTTTTGTCTGAAAGGCTATTTTTACAGTGGCATATTCCAAGATTCGTAAATAAATTTTACACGTAATTATATAAAAATTACTAACGATAATCCCTGCGTCATTTAGAATCCCGATTACGATCGTTCGTCAGCATAGCGAACCTTTATTGTGATTGGTTAGATTTTGTTGATCATCTCGTGATTTTATTGGCCGATCGACCAATCAAAATTGTGAGATGA